TGACCGACGGAATTAAGAACGCATTGATCATTTATGCATTTTGTTCCTTCTATGCATACACCGTTGTCACATGGACCAAGTGGAAAGACATTTTTTATATTATCTGTCGGAGAGAAAATGCTGAAACACTTTTTTAATGTTTGTTAAAATACTCAAATAGGGTTACAAACAGTACTGTTGAGCATTCGTTTTGTAAACTAGAAATATGATAAAATTGAATCATAAAGTGGAAGATATTCAATCTGTTGTATATGTTGAATGAAACAAAGGCATCCTGAGAAAATTCTTAAAGGTGGAATTATCAACATAAAGTTCTCACTTACTACTGCAGCATCATTGATGATAAGAGCTGAAAATGTCGAAGTTATAAGTAAATTGCCAAATAAGGATAGTAAGTTTTAATTTGAGCATTTAAGAATATAGTTTTCTAAACATTGATAATACTTAGACCAACCTAAAAAAGCAATAGCTGATACGCTACAGTACATTAATGTAATCCTTTACGCACTATGGTAACTAGAGGTTTCCTTCCCTTGTTATACCGCATACTCTGTTTCAAAATTCAGGTTTCACTAGTACTGATAATAGGCAGATTGAGATTCTCAATTAAATTTTGTAGTTGTGGCGGATTAAAAACAAATTTTCTTATTTTCAAAAAGCCTGTTTTCCAAGTATTTTTTTACTTTGTTAGGTGATCTGGTTGGTTTAAATTCGAGAAATTGTATAGGTTTCAGTTTTAGCAGAGTTTTTCAAACGATAGATTCTGGGAATCATTTTTGAAAATCATGTTTTAAGAGGTACATGTCAAGATATCCAAATTGATCAACAAATTTTACTGGCTCTGAGCTTCAGCCTGTTAAACATTTAAGACCGAGTGGGATTGTATTAAATTTAAATATCAGAAATTGTTATATATGTTTTACTTGAAGGTTTTTTTGTCAAGTCGTTCAGTTCAGCCAAAATAAACCGCCAGGAGGTTGCTATTCTGCAACTACTTTTTACGCCTCACTTTTATTTTTTGTATGCAAACTTTTTGTTAGGTATGTTCAACAAAGTGTGGTTCTGAGTGATCTGATAAAGACCCAATTAGAAGCGGTGCAAAATAAATGCTGTGGTGTTTTTTCTGAAAGTGTCGAACTTTATCCAAATTTTTTTTGCATAAAACACTAATACTGTTTATGCTACTAGATAAGTAATATCTTCATTCCAGAAAGCAATTGAGCAAATACGTTAGATTCTGTTTTTGTCAGAAGCGTTTTTAATAAGTAATGTGAATCTCCGAAATCAGATAAATGTAAAATAAGTGGTCAGAGGTCAAAGTTGTTGAAAAAGATTTATTCAATTATACCATTGACTCAAAAAAGTCTTTTAAATCAGTTTTTGCTTATCTGTTTCATCATTTATGATTTCTAGACAAGCATTTTGATGTCCTATTATAAGAAAAATCAATGCTGCAAAAATCTTGTTTTTTGAAATAATTTCAAAAAACTTCTCAAGGTTCTTCCTACGTAGAGTCAAGTACCCAAAATTGCGACAAATGATTAGTAAAGCAGCAGTGTTTTACTTGAAAGATTGTACTATTTCTTATGCTTTTTCCCCCATTTCCCCGCTCCCTCTTCTCTCCCTCCACAGATTATCAACAGATTAAAATAAAATTGATGAGACCGTTGCCAGGTTTTCTGGAACCTGTGATATGATACCACCTGTAGTGAACTTTGACCGAGGATATGGTCTTCGTTCAAAACGACTTCCGTCTGCTAGCCATCAAAAAGTTAAATTTGTAGAGCAATTAGACCAAACGATGAAAAAGTTTCTTTTGAACAGATACTTGCAGTTAGAACCCAGAATGAATCCACAACCCAGAATGAATGAAACTGTTGTTTCATGAATGCGTATTTCTCTACAACAAATCTCATTTGACTGTTTAACTGTTCTAAAAGTAAATTCTTTCATTTACGTCCCTCAAAATCGAAAATGCCAAGAATTAACAAGAATTACTTCAGCATGGTGCATGTGCTAAACTGAATTTTTCATAGTGCAACAACCTAAATCTCTGTTACTAAAGCTAATTTATAAGCCGAATTTCATTCAGGGTCAGAACAAATTCAACTCTTTTTCTAAAATACTAAACGTGATAGAAATGTTAACTTAATGTTGTGGAATACTGCGATGTTTACAAATTTTGTTGATTTTATTGAACACTTTCTCAAGTAGAAAATCAGCGTTCCATGTGTCAAAAACCTGGAAAAACCAATTCATTTACTAACAGTGCGGCTTTTGGTTGTTCGGAAGTATTCTTTCTTAACGTATAAAAAATTTTAGAAGTTTGGTTTCTTCTTCATAAAAAAAAAGTTGAATTTTTACGTTTCTTTTCAAAATTTCTTGATTTCAGTAGCTTGCTCTACCTCTTCAGTGGAGATTGGCTTTCTAAAATGTTGTATTTGCTTAGTTTCTAAAGAGTATATCACTGCGACTACATCCCACTTTCATTTGCAGATGTAGTTGTCGTCAAAATTTTGTCGTGTTCTAAAGTGAGTCTGGTCCTTACCACTCATAACCAAAAAACTGAATAATTTAAAAAAAAATTACCTCTAAAGTAACATTTTAAAGCTTTTTTCATTTATTAAAAAATTGAGCTTTTCTAGTTCTTTCATTCAGAATATTTTTTCTCTAAAAATGCTTGGCAAACCCTCTTTTTTTTTTCACATTTATCATCTACATTTCACGGCAATTACAACAACAACAAAATTAACAAATCCCTATAGATACCAATAAAATTATAACAGTGAAAAAGTTCAAAAATAACTGTTAAAAATCCTCTCACATTTCCAGCAATATCTCGGCAACGAGAGGACCAAAAAGCGTCAAATCTGAAGGTAAACAGATTAAACAAGTGTGAACAATATGACATTCTTAATAGATCATTTACAATATTAACAAAGAAGTTAAACATGCCTTTTCCGAGGTCGCTCTGATAACTTTTGGGTGGCTCGATATAACACAGTGGCATTGACCCAAGCTTGCTGCAAAAGCGCTGCTCTGTTCGCAAAAAATTTTAACACAAATTGGGAATGACGGCGTTTATATATATTTTGAATAGCTGGCAGAAGTTAAATTGATGGCAAGGTTCCAATGGAGTGCGATGATCTCTGAACAGTCGGTTATTAGACCCTCAGTTTTCCTGGTCTCTGAAAAATTTCCGCTGTCAGCTTCATTAACGTCTGATACTTTTTCACTTTTTTTGCTCTGCAAGAATGGGGCTAGGAGTTGGCTGACAGAAACTTTGTTCTTTTACTCTATTAAACTGTTTTAGATTCTGCAGCACTTATAACTTTTGATTGTGGTGTACATTTTTTTCGTTGGAGGCATATTTTTAGTGCTTCTGTTTCACTTATCTCTTTTCATCTTTCTTTTCCAGGAAATTTAGTCTTATCGTTATTACTTTTTTTTATCGTTAGGAAGTTGTTGTCGTCTAAATGTGAAGAGTAGTGAATGCTTTTACATTATAATCGTACATATATGTAATTGAAGATACAGAATTTGGGCAACAGTTCAGTGCACTGTAGCTGTCCATTAAGCAACCTGATCTTTTATGCATACGTTAGGCAGATTCCAGCAACAAATTTCAGTTTTCAGCTGCCTCGGAAAGATTACTTCGATTAAGAGACAAACTAAAAAACTAAATTTTAAGATTTACTTGTTATTGAAAATTTTGCATTTTTTTATTGCGAAGAAAAGTCTTTGGTCTAAGAAAAAATGAAGTTTCAATAGAAAATGAGATGATTTATAGAAAGTGGCGTGAAAAAATGTCGTTTCTAAGAAGTAGAAATTTTTTTGCAACCAGTATAATGTTGATAAGAAGTGTTTTCAGAAAGTAAGGAGGGTCAGGATAACGGTAAACTGCAAGAGCTAGAAGTATCGAGGAACATCAAAGTATTCGTCAGTGAGTCGAATTAATTAAGTGTCGGTGAATGTAAGCAAAAAGTATTTAAAAATGACGGCTGTTC